TCTGTGGAGGAGTGCGACGGGCGAGTTGTTTTGATACAGTGCTGCTTTATCTTCATACACAGTCAGAGCCGCCTCCAATAGAGATGTCAAAAACAGAGGCTCTTTGATCACCTCGTTTGATGTGTCTGAAATAATAGACATCACACCAGGCATCGCTCAGGTTCTGCCCAGCTCTCTATCAACTCTTTTTACAGCTTTTTGTGTTGAGGTTTGGTTCATATGTTGAGCAGCGAGTTTGAGCCGTTAGCAGTGCCAGCACCCATTTGAAAAGCTGTGAGTGAGTGTTGAGACAGCTGTGAAACCGTGTTGAGACAGCTGTCTGAAGGAGGCGTGCGTGTGTGTGTGTGTGTGAGCAGTGGTTACCACCTTGCCTCTGCATTCATCACACTGGCATCCGGTCAAACTTTTGTTCACAGTCTATATCAACTTCTGTTTTTCTGTGTTGAACTGAACTGAAGTGCTTTATCATTTAAACACAGATTGGATGGAGAAGCAGTTTGTTTTACTATGCTGAGATGTTATAAACTTTTCTTTCTACCTGTATAACTATTTTTATAACTATTTTTAATACTAGTCTAATTACTGGAGTTGTTCCTGACTGCCTAAAAACAGCTACAGTAACTCCATTATTAAAGAGGCCCAATCTTGATTCTTTGAATTGTAAAAAATAATTTTAGGCCTATATCAAACTTGCCATTTCTTTCTAAGATTCTTGAGAAAATTGTGTTGACCCAGCTGGAGTCCCATTTGATTTCAAATAATATTTTTGAAAAATTCCAATCGTGTTTGAAGTCTCAACACAGCACAGAAACTGCACTTTTAAAAGTTGTAAATGATATTTCACTAGAAACGGATAAAGGGATTGCTGTGGCTTTGGTGCTTTTTGACTTAAGCTCTGCATTTGATATGGTTGACCACAATATCTTGATTTCCAGGTTGGAGAGCTGTGTTGGGTGTTGGGCAAGGTGTTGAAATGGTTTCAATCTTTTTTAACAAACAGAAGTTTTAGTGTTTCCATTGGCCAACATAGTTCGTCCTCAAGCCTACTTGCTTGTGGGGTGCCACAGGGCTCAATTCTTGCCCCGGTTTTATTTTCTATATTTATACTACCAATGTGTGCTGTCTTTGAGAAATATGGAGTGTCCTTCCACCTATATGCGGATGATACTCAACTGTATTTTCCCTTGCAGCATAAAAGTAAAGAATTCTTAGGACCTCTGTTGGATTGTCTAAACGAATTACAAATATGGTTAAAGCAGAATCTTTTAGTGTTAAACGAGAACAAAACCGAAATAATTTTGTTTGGTGTAAAGTCATATGAAGACTGTGCCCTTCATTTTGGTCATCTCTCTTCCTACTTTACACCCTGTGCTAAAAATCTTGGTGTTCTTTTTGATTGCAACCTGGGTTTTGAGAAACAAATTAGTGCAGTGGTCAAATCAAGTTTCTTCCACTTACGGCGTTTCTCAAAAATCTAATCTTTACTATCTGTAAATCAGTTTGAACAGATTATTCACTTGTTTGTTCTATCTCGTTTAGATTACTATAATTCACTATACTGTGGTATAGTTAAGTCAGTCCTCTATAATGCGTTTACAGATGGTCCAAAATGCTGCTGCAAATTTGCTGACAGGCAGGCAGAGGTTCGATTACATCTCGCCCATTCTTAATCCACTAAACTGGTTACCAGTCAAATTTAGAATTATTTTAAACATTTTTACTTTTATTTTTAAATACTAGATCGAGGTTCCATTGCAGAGGTGATCGAGCCTTCGCTGTTGCTGGTTCTAGTCTATGGAACAAATTACCAGCTTCTATTAGAGCTGCGCCCTCTTTGCCAGTATTTAAATACCTGCTTAAAAAACATTTTTGTCAATAGCTTTTATCTAGCCATATCAATTGTATTGTTATATTGTGTTTTGATGTTTTGTGGTTTCTTATTTGTTTTATTTTAGCTGTATTGTACAGCACTTTGGATCAACCGGTAGTTATGTGAAAGTGCTTTGAAAGTATTGTTGTATATTAACAGGATGCAATAATAACAGTGTAAATTATTTTATTTATTAAAATTATTAAATAGCCTAGATGCTGCCTTATTGGGACAACAAAGCTCTCCCTATAGCCTGCCTACCCCTAATAAAACCACAGACTCCGCGGTGATTTAAGCTAGTTTAAAGGCAGAGGAAACAGCGCTGCCATTCTCAACACCACTGACGCGACAACAATCCAGTTAGAATACTTTTCCTCCAGTCCACAAATTAATATTTACAATGGATTTACTGTAGTAACACTAAACCTAGCCAATTAATACATTATTATTAAACATTTGTTAGGCAGGTGATTTCCACTTTTCCGATGTGATAAGTGATGAGAAAAGGAAGAAAAGCGAGTTCGGAAAAAGATGGACCCGAACCCTTGTCAACCACATCATATGCAACTCCCAAACGCATTACTCTCCCACCTACGCCACTGCAGGCCGTTTGACTTCGTCCAACGAGTGTGTTCATTCTCCGCATTTTAATTCAACTTTTTTTCTCGAAATGTAACAACTTTTTTCTCGTAATTTAATGAGTTTATTCTCAACATTTTATTTCAACTTTTTTCTCAAAATGTAATGATTTTTTTCTCTCGCAATTTTACGAGTTTTTTCTCGTAATTGAACGAGTTTATTCTCAACATTTTATTTCAAAATTTTTTCTCGAAATTTAACAAGTTTATTCTAAACATTTTATTTCGACTTTTTTCTTGAAATTTAACGATTTTTTCCTCGAAATTTAACGACTTTAATCTCGAGATGGTTTCATTTTTTTATTATTACTTGGCCCTAATCCTCTTCCGTACTTATCAATATTGGAAATTGAAAATATGATCTGATTGCATAACTTGCGTCTGATTGGGACTTTTGCAATATGAAATGCCCAACACTTGACATCCCATAGGAAAGAAAGTCCCAAATGGGATTTCAACATCTCAATGGTTTCTCCTTGACAGCATTGATATTGACCTGTCCGTATTGAATTTAAGTCCCACCTCGATGCCCACTTCTAAAGCCCTTCCTCTTCCACCGGTTCTGTCCGGGACCCTAGACCTTCCTCCTCAGCTAAGCCTGTCCAGCTAGTGAGGCTGCTCTTTGGTGTCACCATGGTCCTCCATTCCCTTGGCTCCACCATTGTCCTCCATCCCACTGGCTTCACCTCAGTCCTCCGAGCCTGTGACGTCACCCTGATCCTGGCCTTCTTGGTCTCCACCAGAAGGTCTGCCTCAGGTTTCCGATTCCATTGCTCATCATCACCTTTCCCTTCCAATTCTTCCTTACTGGTGTTCAGAGGCGGACAGTAACTAAGTACATTTACTTGAGTATTGTACTTAAGTACACTTTTTGAGTATCAGTACTTTACTTGAGTATTATTTTTTCTGGCAACTTATAACTTTAACTTCACTACATTTGAAAGACAAATATTGTACTTTTCACTCCACTACATTTCTATCAAGGTCCTCGAAGTAGAAAGTCGTTACTAGCTTTGAAAGTCAGTGGGTGATTTCTTTCTTCTCTAAAAACTGTCTTTTTTTCAGACAGTTT